ATGTGACAAGTCACAGGGGAAGATATTACTAGCTTGGGTGAGAATCACAAAATTGGGTTTTTCATTAGTTTCCTTAAGCAGCATAAAGTCTGAAGAGTGTCAGAAAGTTTATAATCAATGATAGCTCCATACTTTTATCTACCTGGCATAGTTATTTTGTTTTTCACTTCAGTGTTCTGAAGCCTCTTCTGGGAAAGGAGATATATAACGCAAATAAATAAGTAAATACAAATACTGCCCTTATTAGGGTGAGAAAGATTACCACAGCAGCATTTGTGTTATTTGCCCAGAAGAAAGGACACCACAAAGCAGGAGCATGCTGGGGGTCTTTGAGGAAAACAATTATGAGGAGCACTATTCCTTCTCTGCTGTAGGAATCTGTTATTGGCCAACACTACCTGGTCCAGATTACAAGGAGAATGGAGCCACATACAGGTTTTTCCACATGCTCCCTGACCCTCTTCATTCACTCTACTGTCACCTCCATAATAATAGACACAATGCCTGCTACTATCTCATGCCTACAGCAGAGCTGCACAGTGTAAGAGGAGAGAAACCAGGAGGGTGACTTCTTATTTATGCTTCTGCACAGGCGAGATCTGGTCACAAGCTGGTCCACAGTTGGTATGACTATTACAAAGGTTGTATACTCCAGTAGGAGAATGAAGACTCCATACTTCTTATTTTTAATGGGCAATCACACTACTATAAAAGGATGCTATTCAATATGAATGGGCAATCATACTGCTGTAGAAGGATGCTATTCAGGATGCAAAAGGATGGCAGAATAGGTCTCTAAAGAATTAAGGATACCAAATAGATGACACTAAGCTTATCTACTACTTTTTATGGGGGTTAACACACAAAACAGTTTTTGAAGTCCCTACCTCAAGCTGCTTGAGTTAAAAGTGAACAAGAACCAAGTTGAGGGGAAAATAAAAGATTAGGCACAGATCTGTGAATGCACTTTTGTAACAGAAGGCTTCAGAGTAACGTTATCTGAATAAGTTATACCAGTACTGCAATGAGTTTCATTGAGCTCGGCACCTGACCAGCTCCCAATAGCACAGGTGCGCTAGTAGGTTTGCTAACAGGACCTGAACTTAATGGCTTCACTGAATAAGAAATCCCTGTTGAGGACAATTATTTTCTTTCTCATTATTAACAGTTCCGTTTGTAAAATTAACTAGTGGAAGCAGAGGAAGCCATGTGGATTATAAACACACACACAAGTATTAGGTCTGTGCGAAGCTTCGGGTACTGATTTGATTCACAGGAGATTCGGCCCGATTCAGTGGCCAAATTTCCAAATCCGAATAGGATCAGGGGACCAATTAAAAGATCCGAATCGATTTGAGCTCTCCGTATTGATTTGGAAAAGATTCAGAGAGCTTCGGTGATTCAGGCAGTCTCTGCTGGCTGGAGCAGGGAGCTGGCCCTGAACTCTGTGGGCGCATCCACACGAGCACACACGTGCCTCTTGCCCTACCTCAAACCCCTTTGAGGCGGGGCAACAGGCACGTGCAGGAACAAAAACATGTTATCCAGGGGTCTAAAAAAATCGATGTTTAAGAAAGCAGGGCAGGGTATTGTCCCTGACCATGCCCTGAGGCAACCGGAGGCTGGGTCCTCCCTGGAGATACTCTGGCTGCCAGAGCATCTCTATGGTTGGTCCCTCGCCCTGATGCTGAAACACGCAGCCAGCCAGGCTGAATGTTTCAGCCCCAGGACTCTGGTGCCAGTGAGTAAGGGGTTGCGGGGGCTGGAGGAGTGGGGAGGGGACCATGGGGGGGCCGATGGCCCCACCTACTCCCCCAGAGCCCCTGACCACTGC